TGGAAAGAAACTTTCCCAGCCCAAACAACACTGTATGGGAGAATTTTTGGGACACGTTCTTTTTCCTTTGTTTTCTCTTTTATATCATTTTATTTCTTTTAAAGCTTTTAAATTTTTAGACCATCAGGTCATTCCCTATTATTTTTTGCCTCTTTTGATTCTGTTATTAATGGTATAGTTGTTGATTTTAATTGCTTTTTACTATACTCCCATATCTGGATTGTCTTTGTGCAGCTATTATTGCTGTAGTTTGTTTTTTATCTGGGTGGTATTAGGGATCAAGCCCTCAAAAGAAAGACAATTATTATGAAGACTCTTATGTAGAAAAAAGACACCTTGCAATAGATGTCCAAATCTCAACATAAAAATTCATGAAATATGAAAAAAAGTCAACATGATTCCTTCAGAAAATCCAAAGATAACAAAATGGATGAAAAGCTGGAAAAAAGAATTCATAAGAATGATTTTACAAATGATTAGTGACTTTACACAGGATACAAATAAATACATATCACTGAATAAATTAAGGAAGATAATACAGAATATGAAAGGATAATTCAATAGTTTAAAAATGGTCCAAACAAATCTTGGAAAAGACAAGCTCAATAAGTCAAATAAAAAAACTCAGTTGAAAACCTCACAAACAGAGTGGAAGAATGTCAAGGCTTAAAGACAAGATTTATGAATTATCAAATTCAGATAGTATTAAAGAAATTATGAACAGAACATACAAAACCTGTGGGATTCAATTAAGAGAACAAACCTATAAATACAGAGTTTCAGTTACTTTTCACTCATTGCTGGACAAAATACCTGACACCCAAAATTAAGGAAGGACAAGTTGATTTAGCTCACAGTTAGTGGAGGTTTCAGTCCACACTCGGTTAGCTCTAGGTCAGAGTAGCACAAGGCAGAAGTTCATGGGGGAGGAAAACAGTGAAAAGCAGAGGAAGGAGCAGCAGCTGTGACACCTATCAAGCCTCTCCCTTCCTTCCTTGCTGACTGTGAAGACCAAGACCAGAGCTCCTCCAAAGAAGTGGCGCAGCTGAGAAGATTAAATTCCTCCAAGGAAGTGACACACAGAATCCTTCCTCAATGCCTTTTAGGTCCTTTTCATGCTGAGTCACTCAAGAGTGGGCCCTCCAAGCCCTGGGGGGAAGGGGAAGGGAGGGGGGAGCCGTGGGGGGGGCCCTCCATGCCCTAGGGCCTGGAGTTGCTGAGCCAATCCAGCCAAGCTTCCACAACAAATCAACCACCACATACAGTAATCAGTTTAGAAGAAGAAGAAAAAAAAAAAAAAAAAAAAAAAAAAAGGAACAAGCTAAAGACATAGAAAAGGGCCCACAAATAGTTCAGTGAATTAAAGCACCTGCAAACAGGTGCAGGGGCCTTTTTGATACCAGGGCCTGCCATGCTGGCCCCGCCCCCAGGGCACACTGAGATGGCAAATGAGACTGGGCGTGGTGGCGCACGCCTGTAATTTTACACCCAGCTCTTGGGAAGCTGTAAACAGGCAGATCACTATGAATCTGATCTAGTAGTGAGACCCTGAACACCCTATAGACCCTTCCCTAAAATAAATAAATAAATAAATAAATAAACAAATGCATAGAAAGCTTATCAGTGAAATAATAGAAGAAAACTTTCCAAATCTCAGGAAAGTGATAGAAATACAGTACAGGAGGCGTTCAGAACTCCAAACAGACATGACCAGAAAAGAATCTATGCTATTTTATAATTAAACTGCCCACAGTAGAATATAATACAAAGAACAGAGAAAACTGGAAGCTAAAAAGTAGAATCACCAAATCACTTATGAAAACAAGTCATTCCAATAAAAGATGTAGTTTAGCTAACTGAATTTAAAACAAGAACCTAATGTGTGGTACATGAAAAAGACAACTTGTTGGCAATGTCATAAGCAGACTGAAAGTGAAAGAAAGGATGGAGAATGACATTCTAATCAAATAGAATCCAAAAGTAAGAATGAGTACTCATTTCTGACAAAATAGACTTTAAACCAAAATCAGCTAGAAAATATAAAGAAGGTCACTACATATTACTTAAGGAAACAATCCACTAAGCAGTGAACCCAAACACAACTGGTTCAGCTTCAACTAGTCCAACTAGCCCAGATGCACCCCCACCAAAAAAAAAATCAACAACAAAAATATCAGACCTAGGAGCTGGGGAGATAGTTCAGTAGAATGAGCATCGCCTGGCAAGTGCAAGGGCCTGAGTTCAATCCCCGGTTCCGCAAAAAAAAAAAAAAAAAAAAAAAAAAAAACAGACTTAAATTACACTGTCTATCAAGTGGACTTAACAGATATCTACAGAATATTTTTCATTCAACACATTC